CGTCCACCACACTCGCCAACGCAGCGGCAGGAGGCAGAGAGAGAGCTCTGTGGGGAGAGGGGTTTTATAGGGGGGTTTGAGTAAGGGGAGGAGAGAGGACTGTGGGCCCTGCCAATTGGCCAGGCGCAAGTTGGGGTCTTGTTACATAGGATGTTGTTGTGTCTATGGTGCGCACTTCCCTTGATTATCATTGGTTAGTTTAAAGAAATCCTAGGTGTGGCTAGCAGAGGCTTGGGCTTCCGGGAAGAAGCTCCTTGCTGAGCATATTGCTAATGGCTTCTGCCCAAAAATGAAGGATCTGGGGCAAGATGGAGGGCGTAGCCCTTGCCCTTTCACCCCACATTCTATCCAGTTTAAGATGATGCGGTGTCAGGCACTTCCTACCAGCTGAGATAAATTTCACAATGTCTTCTGGACCCTGTTTCCAGATCACAAAGGCTCTTTCCTGAAGGGCTTCCTGAAAAGAAGTCTGTTCAGTTATGCAGCATCCTGGTTGCTCTTTGCCTCCAGGAAGACTGGAGGATATCATAACTCAATAAGGATGTTTAAACATGGATGTAAACATCATATAGTACAAAAGCAAATACACGATGATAATGACATCCCTATTGCGGAGGGTTTGATGACTTTGAAGGAATTTTTTGGAAAACTCCCCAGGGCGTCTTAAAGGCTTCTGCAGAATGGTGACATTGGATGTGGCCCCTTTGGATCCTAGAAAGTTTCTATATAAACTGAGAATGGTCTAGTGGCACTGTATTCTTCCTGTGGACTCTGCACTTATGTCCTCAAACTGACTCTAGGGTGTCCCGGTCCAAACAATTTTCCAGTTGGCAGCAATGAGTAACAGAGGAAAATCAGATGCCCCCTTCCCCCAAAGAGGAACACAGGGGAGTTTAAAGGAACAGAGAACTCAAACAACCCTTTGACCCCCACATGCTTAGTAAAGAAAAGTTTGAATAAAAATACTATTCAATTTGGAATATTGTAAAATTTCTGCTCTCACTTTGTCTACCTGAGCAAATATGCAAATATGCAAATATGCAGGGTATTCACATGAGCCTTCTTTGAAAGACACTCCATTTATATTTATTTGTTCTTTCTGAGTTTTCTTTGACCCTCTTATTTATTTATTTATGTATGTATGTATTTATGTATTTATTTATTTTGCCGTAAGCACATCTGTAATTGATTCTCTTTTTTCTTGGGAAGGGTTTTGCTACCTTTCAAACATGTCCTCCTCCCACTTGTGGACTTTCCTGCTTTCCTTTAAGGCAGTGGTTCTCAACCTGTGGGTCACGACTCCTTTGGGGGTCGAATGACCCTTTCACAGGGGTCGCCTAAGACCATCAGAAAACACATATATAATTACATATTGTTTTTGTGATTAATCACTATGCTTTAATTATGTTCAATTTGTAACAATGAAATTGGGGGTCACCACAGCATGAGAAACTGTATTAAAGGGTTGCGGCATTAGGAAGGTTGAGAACCACTGCTTTAAGGGGCTATATATGCAGCTGAAATCCAGTCCCTGTTCTGCTCACAAAGCCATGTGCTGTGCCTGGGGCTGCATCTGCCCAGAGGCAGTTTGCACAGTGAGATGTGTCCTGGCCGAGCTGGTAATCCCTGAGCTGCAACTATCAAAAAAAAAAATAAAAGAGGGTTGTGATTCTTTCAACTTGCAAGAAGAAATACTACATGGGCTAGAGGTGACCCTATAAGTCTGGTAGGAATGTAGTACAGATTTGAGGGAAGATTAGTGGGAGCTAAGAGGGTCCCCATGGTGGAGTATCTCGGTGACCACTTTGGGATTTGATGCTGAGGAGTGTCATTGTCAGTGTTGCATTTGGGAACAATTAATGGGCTCTAGGTTTGGTCCGATCTCAGAAAGGAGAGTCAGACAGCTATGGTGATAGCTCTTTACCTTATTATGTAAACCTGGCTGCCCTTTAGCATATCTTCTGTTGACCTCCTTGTCAGATTTCCTCACTCATTACAGACTTTGCAATGGATCCTGGTTCAGTCTTTGGCTCTGCCCCAAATCCTGCTATCACCCTGGGCCACTGCAATGTCCTGTGGATGACCCATTCAACAGCTCTGCCTTCCCATCTATGCAGTCCATTACCTCCATCCCACCTCATACTTCTACGGTATATGTTGGACTTTGTCATCATCCAGAACTGCTCACCTGTGAAATGACAAATTCAAGCTGTCCTTTGCTGATCACAACTTCATGACTGCAGCATATCCCCTCAGTTGTTCTCTGTAACAGTACCCTTTCTCCGGCTTTTCTTTACCACGATCCACAACTGCATTGCACACTTGTTCCTTTGCACTCTCCTAAGGACCCCCCAACATTGTGTGAAATCAATTGCCCGTCTTTGCTGTGCCTCCACCCAAGTGCTGAGCACTGCTGGAAAAATTCCCATAACTGAGCCACTTCACACTCATGGCCCTGCCTCAGCCAGCCCTCTAGTAGGCCCTCAGTGCTCTGTTTCACAAATAAATTCTCACTCCTGTTTCTTAGCATAACAATTTAAAAAGTTTTCCACTCTTCTCAATATCCTTCCTCACCTCCCCCCGCCCCCTCACCCCCAAGTACAGGAAACAGAAAAACCAGAGAAAAGAAAATAGCCACGCTTTATTGTGTGCCGGGCTCTGTCATAAGGACTTCACAGGTATTAAGCCACATAGTTACCACCGCAGTGCTCTGATGTACTTGATAAACCTATGGAACCAAGAAGAGAAAGCTCCTGAACAAGGTCACACATGTAGGAAGGAGTAGCCACTGATAGTGTAGTGCACTGCTTCTCACATTTTATTGTATAAAACTAGAGGCCCGATGCACAAAAATTTGTGCACTCGGGGGGAAGAGGGGGTCCCTCAGCCTGGCCTGTGCCCTCTCGCAGTCTGGGACCCCTCGGGAGATAATGCCCTGCTGGCTTAGGCCTGCTCCCAGGTGGCAGAGGGCAGGCCCAATCCCTAGGTGCAGCCCCTGGTCGGGCTCAGAGCAGGGCCGACTGGGGAGTTGGGGCACTGCCCCCTGTCATGCACAGAGCAGGGCGGATCAGGAAGTTGCGATGCCACCCTCAGTCACGCTCAGGGTAGGGCTGATTGGGGAGTTGGGGCATTGCCCCCTGTCACACTGAAGGCAGGGTCGATAGGGAGGTTGCAGCGCCACCCCATTATGCACCGAGCAGGGCCAATCAGGGGGTTGGGGCGCTGCCCCCTATCACGCACAGAGCAGGGCCCATCAAGGGGGTTGGGGCTTTGTACTCTGTCACACACAGAGCAGGGCCCATCAAGGGGGTTGGGGCTTTGTAATCTGTCAAAAA